CCAGTTTTAACATTGCACTCCAGCAATGTGTTTCCACAGGTGGAAGAGCTAAGGGATCTAGCAGGAAATTTTCAGGATGTTGGTATGCGTTGACAATTTTTGAGACATGTGGGAGGTTCTAATATACTAGTTTCCTAAAATGAGTTTTCAGAAATTGAGGAGGCAAAAAACTGTTTTTATAGAAAAAAATCTTTTTTCCTGGAGTCTACAATACAAAAAAGTTGGTCATCCAGTTACCTGGAGATTTGTAGGTTTACGAAAGTCAAGTTCCATACTCCAATCTAAAGTGAGAGCAGTAGTGACTATGGTAGCAAACAAAACAGATAATAAGCCTGGGAGCAAGGGGTACCAAACACAGGTGTGTGCACGCATCTGCTTTCCTTCCTGCCAAAAGGAATTCCTGCCCTCAGTTATACCGTCTTAGCTCAGTGCAGTCTGGAGCCAAGGAGCATGTCAGCAGCGTCTTCTTGTTCTATACACTGGAGGCTAAAGGAATGAGTTATTTGCTTTGTCAATGACACATCAATCCTCCTCATCACTAACATATTAAAGCCTAGGAGATTTCATCCCTATTTCTCTTTAGCTCTCCATATGTTCTGAAGAAACAATGCTCCTTAAATATGGGTGGCTATCCCCTGTGCTCCTCCTCCAGTGTCTGCACTCTCAGATTCCAGTAACACCTCTGGCCTTCAAGTAGCAACACTCTTGCCCCTTGAACCCTGGAAGACAACCTCTCACTCACTAACTTCAAACCTCCACCTCATCACTCCTTTCTCTAAATCCTGGTATATACTTTTTCTGATTTCAGAAAAATCCCCATGGCCTTAGTTTATCCATTTCAACTTTTAGTCACCATCACCTTTTGTCTTTTCTTTTTCCTGAACATCAGCTCTGATTACATTTTCCTGTTTGCCTTGCCTTTAGGTGAAGCCAAGTGACTGAGGTGTGGGATGTAAGGGGAAGAGATGTGTGTCACTTTGGGGTTAGTCCTCAAAAACCTCTGTCACTGAAGCTTCTATCTCTGTCCCATCTTCTGGAAGAAAGCCAAGGATTCCCAAAGTTCTGTCCACTAATAACCATGTGGAACAGGTTGACCCTTCCTTGCTGACTTTCTTTGGGCTGTTATAGCAGGGTGAGTTAAATTTCTATTATGCTAAGCCACCGAAATTCTGTGTTGGTTATAACCTACCCTGATTTATACAACAACAAAAACTATTCGTTCTCAGGTTTATGCCACCTTCTAGCTGTAGAAGAGAAGAACAATCCTCAAAGTTAAGAGGGCTGTTAATTTCACTAGACTCTTAGATGGTCCCCAACACTACAATACACCAGTCCAACCACCTGACAACTTTCCCCAAGTTTCTTGAGTGCCCAGAAATATCTGATCCTATTGATTATGCCCTGGAAATACTCTTTCCTGTTAAGAGTTTTCCTACCTACCTCCAGGTTGTCCTATCTCATTCATTACTTATTGGTCTCCTTTACAGTTCCTCACTCTGTTCCAGTTCTTTTGTCATCATCCTTTAACTATCATGTCTTTTTTATATCTCCAATCTGCATGAGTCCTGAATCTCGGAATCTAGTGAGGTCTCCAGTAAGCACAAACAAATCAGCACCTTCCCTTCCCACCTTCCCTAAGACTACTCGCCATTCACCTGCACTTCCCTCTGTCAGTGGGTCCCCTTAGCCATAACCCTGGGAGGATGGCTTAACCTTCCAACAACTACTCACAGCCCTTCTGATTCTATCTGCTAAATAGCTTCTGAATTTGTCCTTTCTCCTACATACGCCCAGCAACAAACATTTGTATTTTTCTCACCTAAATTACTTCCAAAAATTCCTATCAAATTCTGTATCTGTAGTTTTATTCCTCCAAATTATTTTATGTGGCTGACACCTAGATCTTGCTAACATAAAAGTCAGATGATATTCCTTCTTTATTGGAAATCCATTAATGGGTCTGTAAAATCTTTGAAGAAATAATTCTCTCCCTGCCGGACAGTTTATTCTAATCTCCCAGTGGGACTCAACAATACTATTCTTCCTGACTTTGGATATAAATTTGACCTTCTCAATATGTTCCTTTCTGCATGAAGAGCACCACTATCTTATCTGTTCCTAAAAGAGAAAGCTAGGCTGAACTGCAATCTCCAACCCTCTGCCAAGCTTCCAGTTCATAAAGATTCTTTGAATCCCTCCTACTTAATAGCTCTTGAGTTTATCAGCATCTCCTCAAACCCATACAAATACCCCTTCCCAGATCAACCATCATCTCTTATCCACCGTAACCTCTTTCCTCCCTGGTCTTCTTCTGTCTCTGCTCTTCTTCAAAGCCATTCTCCATTCCACAGGCAGAATATCTGTCTAAATTGTGGACAGGATTATACTCAAAAACTTAACAATGATACCTCACTGCTTTCAGCAGCACAAAAAGTGGTTTTAATAGAGCTTGGATTCTTATAAAGAAAGACAAAAAAAACAATGTTTCAAATAATGAAATGTGATAGTGCAAGACACTGGAGAGAGAGAGGGTAATTGGATTCTAGGGTTAGGGCCAACTTCTTGCAGTCTCCATGCTTCCATGAGACTGAGAGCTCAAAGGAGCTAGCCTTGGTGCCGGAAGACTTCAGTGAGCTACCGACAGCTCCTGGGCTGTGAGCTTCCAAGGCCAGAGCCAAGAATGGCTTTAAACACCCACCACTGTTTTCTGGCACACTGAGGTTCTGAATGCATATTTCCTGAGTAGAGGGATGAATGAAGCCTTAATTTAAACTTTGAATACTCCAATTTTGGGTGAATTTTGTGCACATTTGTGTGTGTGTGTGTGTGTGCGTGTGTGCACCCATGTGCATTTGCTGACAATTTGTGAAACTATTAATTTCTATGTAGACAAAAATGAATGAGAGCTATACGTTAAAGAGGAACTTTTCTTTCCTTAAGTCCTTTTAAAACATTTCAGAATAGATGCTATTCAATAATCTCTTACAACCAGGAGTCCTAACAGGATAAGAAGATGGATCACTTGCTAGAGTACTGCAAGGTCTTCCATCTTTACCAACACTAAAAGCCAGCATCAGTTGAAAGCCTGGACTCCAAGGTTGCTGGCTGTGGCCATCCTGACAGGCAAAACTGTTTTCATACAAACCCAAGTCAACATTAGATACTGTGATTCATTAAAAAGAAATAATTTCAATTCATTATGGTTCATTTCTACTAAGCAGAAAAACTAAAAAAGACCTCATAAAATATAGCATATTGGGTCTAAATTATTATATTTGATTCTGGAAAATAAGATATGCAGAATTATAATGTTTTGGTCTCAAAGTCAAAGCTTGTTTTTTTAACAAATTTGGCAGCAAAACCTGAACTGATGTAAGAGGACTTGTATCTTTTATTTAGTTCATTTGATGTGACTGTTTCCCTATAGAAATAGAAAATGTTTAATTACAGGGTGATTCCTCTGACCCTACAGGAATGTTGAGTAATAGATAACATAATAAATGTAGTTTTTTCCAAAGTCCAAATAATTCTGACCTTAAAGGCATGTCTGACCCTAAAAGTTTTGCATATGGGCTCTATATTCTAGTATAACTTTCACCCAATTCTACTGTCTTGGGTTATAAAACTTCTACAATGTGTGGGCTTTGAAGAACTTAGCAAAAGTAAAGTCAAAGAAACATGATTAATATGATCTTAGTATTTGGAAGTTATATAATGGAAATCTTCTCCAAGTTTCCTTTCAGATATCATTTAAAGTATACATTTACACCATTACATTATTGCTATTTGCATACATACCTACTTCTATGGACTAGAGATGCTTCTGACTATGAGGAAACTTTTATACATAAATTCTTTGCAGCACACTCAGCAACAATCCAGGAATTGGGGACATCAGAATAATTTATCATAACTTCTAATTTTTCCAAGTATTTTATTGTTCTCATTTTATAACTTTTAATAATTTTCTTATACTTAACTTTTTTTCTCCTAAGGTTTCAAGAAAAAGTACCTACTTGCTGGGAGCAAAGTTTCTACTCTTTATAGAAGATTTCTCTGGTACTGGCTGAAAAATTCATTTTGCATATGATATTTGATTGTCATAACTATTCTGCAGGGATATTTCCTCTTCTTCCCGTCACATAACTGAGCAAACTCAGGCTCAATTTGCCCAAAACCACACAATTCCTAAGTGGCAGAATGAAAGTTGAAACCAGGAGTGTCTAGGCCCAAAGCTTTTTCTTCCAAAACATCACAGAGCCAATTACTGGCCCATGTTCCAATCTTATTCTCAATTCATGCACTGTTGGAAGGAAGATCTTGCTTGACCCACAGTAAAAATCAGAACATAATTATTTTCTAAATTCTTATGTTAAACATTTGATAGCATCTTTATAACTTTATAAAATTAAGATATATTATCTGTTTTAAAATATTTAACTCTATAGTCATATAAACTGTCAATCAATGTAATTTGGCTTTTTGTTTTATTATTTTATAAAGTAAATACAAATAATTGAAATTGTGAAGGCTTATCAGCAAATACAGCTAAATAAGACATTCAATATTTACCCACCTTTTAGAAGCATCGTCTACATTTATTGAAAATATTATCAATGAAAGAAAGAGAAAGGCTTACACCTCAGAACAAGAAAGAATAAAAGGACAGAGATGAAGATCATTAATGATTTTAATTATTTTAAGGCCCATTAAAATTAGAGAAATGTTGAAGCACCCACAGTGTTAAGGGTTTATCATTACAGCATTTTAGAGTTTACTAGTTCATACCTTTCAATCACAGCAAGTTATTAGCAGTGAAGGGATGAACCCTCTGAAGAGGATTTTTATTTCAGTGATAGGGTGTTATGAACAAGACAACCTGAGTTTTTTAAAAAAAATTAGTAGCAAGCGCTAGTTGAGTTAATCAGTTAAAGACAAACTGTGCCCTCGGGAAGCTAAATGAAAAAGCAACAGTAAAGCTTACAGAACTTAGCTCGTACAATTTGCCTTGAAGGCGGAAGATTGGTTCCCTGAAATAGCAAAGAATTATATGCTTTAGTTCAGAAAAAAAGTTTTTAAAATAAAGTCTGTTATTACCTCTTCTCCTTTCAAAACAATGGAAAAAAAAAATCTAGAGCAGAGGTTTCAATTTGTTCAATAATTGTACCTCTGGATTTAAAAAAAAAAAAACAACTAAAAAAAGCATCATTGTTTTGACTTGAAAAGAAATAACAATGCAAATATTTATTATCACATAAAACATAAAAGAAACAGCAAATTGCCAGGGTTAATATAATCTCTGCAGAGCGCTATTAGTCAGAGACAGCTGGCCAGCCCCAAAACAGAAAAACTCCAAAGATCAAATGATCTTCATAAGAATGAACATCTTCATTTACCACCAGGAATTTAGTGTGGCAGAGGTTAAATCCACCAATGCCTCCTTCATGAGCTGTCCCTTCACTGTTACCAAGCTGTGCAAACGTGTGAACTAGTCAGCGGCACCAGAAAGCTCATGCAACTACTCACCATATTTTAACCTTGAACTGACTCTCAGAGTCAGCGTTAAGTTTAAGGGTCGTGGAAGCAAGCAAGTGAGGACAAGAGGGGTCATATTTGAAATGCAGAGCAAGTAGCAGAAAAGTTACTTAAAATAAATCAATATGTTTAACTGCATAAAATAGCCAAAAAGCAATGCAGTTCAGTCTAAAAACTCTAAAAGCAAAAATAAAAAAATGAAAAGCTGCATTTTAAGCAAAATTTGCACATGATTAATTTGCACTTAAAAAATAGTCAATCGAGCGATTTAGTTGCTATTCTTCAGGGCATGCATGCAGTGATTCTCTTTTACAATCCCTACCTGATTTCCGATTGTGGTTTTCTTGTGAACCTGACTGCTCCTCTGCTGAGCACTGAGAAAAGCAAAGGAAAGCAGGACTGAAGAAACTCAAAAGAACATTTTCTGAACAAGTAACAGATACTAAAATATCTACAGGCCCTTAAAAAGTCAACAACTGAGGCACAGCTAATATAAAAAAAAATAAGGTCAGTTTAATTCTGGAAGCAAAACCAACTCATGCCATTTCTAGTAGTAATTAACAGACCAAAATGTTAACAACTCCACCTGGAAAAAGCTGCATTGCTGCATTAATAACAATAACAAGTTGTTGTAATTGGGTGTACGGAATAGTTGTAATGAAAATTAAGTTAAGGTTTATTGGGTATTTACCATATTCTAAGTGCTTTATAGATATCAGTGATTTTACTTCTTACCACAATTCTGTGGGGTGGTTACTATTACTCTCTTGTTAGAGAAGGGAATGCTGGAGTAGAGAGGGTTAAAGGCCAAGTATGACTCTAATAATTTAACCTCAGAGCCTACACATTTAAGCTCTATGTTATGCTATCCTTCAACAGGATGAAGATTTTCTTGCAGTGGATCCATGGATTCCTCTAAGGATGTAAAAAAATAAAACTCATCTTGGTTATTCTGGGAAGACTAGCAATACTTAATCCTCTGTCCACTTGCTTACTAGTTTATAGTCACTGTTTTGGAAAACAATGGAATAGTCTAAAATAGAGAAGACGTAAGTTAAAGTATCATTCAACTGTTTAAAGGGATGGAAAGTTATGGTTCCCTGGTAAGACAGAAATCAATACCACACATTTCTTCAGAACAGCAGTCTTTTACAAACTCTCCTGATATATTTAAGCTGCTCACCTGCACTCAAATTCATGAAGAGCCACACACTACATACAAGTGAGGGTGGGCAGGGCCCGGTGGGGAAAAGTCACACCATATTTGATGACTAGGAACATTTTGTGAGCATATTTGCTCTCGCAATTTCTAGTTTACTAATTTCAGCTTCTTCCTTCTCTTTAGTTGCTAGTTTTCTAGTTTTTAGTTAACTGTCTAATTCCTTTCATCAAAATGAAACTCATCTATCTTCCACCATCCCTCTGAGTAATCTAAATCTTGGTTTCAGGCACAGGTAAGGATGTGAAAGAGGCGGCGCTCTGTCGTCTGCGGTCAGGATCTGAGGCGCCCACACCACCTTCTGGCTGCCCGTGAAGCATCCCAGGGCTGAAAATCTCTCCTACACTTTCTTTCCCCACTGTCACCTTCCAGAGTCCCCCAGCTTTCCTCTCAGGGACACTTAAGACACTTCATAAATGTAATCCTGCCTTCCTCATGGCTTATGGTTATCTCTTCCTAGCACTTTATTTATGCTTCTGGATTTTCTTTAAGGGAAGATGTTTTGAGTAGAACTCTGATTAGGTGTGATAACTTCAAAACTGTTACAGGCCCATAGGTGTTTATTTAGGACAAATTACCGAGACTCTAAAGTTATGTGTAGGTCCCCTTAAAATCACATAAGAAAACAAGCTGAATATAAAGCCAAAGACAGAGTGTGTTGATGATTCTTTGTGCTGCCTTAGGCAGAGTTTGACCTAAATGGACAGCAGTTTCTCAGCTGCACAGTGTGATATGCAGAAAAGGGGTAGGGAACTGGATTGTTTCTTAGGTTGGGGGGGGGGTCCAGTTCTGGGGATCAAACCTAGGACCTTGAATGTGCTGGGCAAATGCTCTATCACTGAGTACACCTGTAGGCCTCTTAAGTTTCTTTTATATCCAAGATGCCTTGAGATGCAAAGTTCCTCTCAGAAGCTTGTTAGTAACACCAGATAAAGAGAACTTCCTCTAACAGGCTTCCATCTATAAAATAATGCATTTTAGGATCTACCACCTATAAGACAATGCATAAAGAGAAACAGTTTCATGGCAACTTGAGAATGAGCCAATCTCAAATATTACAGTTAAAATAAACACTAAAATACTATTACTTTGTACCCAAAGAATAATCTTCTTATGGCAATTGGCCCCATAAAACTCAAACATACTGTTGTTTTTGATATATTTAGGTACTTAAAGTTACTTCACATATAACATAATAAAAAATCTAGGGCTGGGGATTTAGCTCGGTGGTTCCACTGCTTGCCTCGCAAGTACAAGGACCTGAGTTGGATCCCCAGTACCAAAAATAAAATAAAATAAAATATCTAGTTAGAAAACAGCCTTTATTATAATTCTTCTGTTATGGTAACAAACTAAAAATATTTCAAAGTACTTATTTAAGAAAATGTTCATGAGAAAAACATCTAAAGACTTGCAAGTTAATTTAAACCCTTGGATATATTCTTGGATACAGACACTTAACTGGTTATCTCAGCAATATTATAAAATATACCCATATATAATGTTTTAATTTGAGTCAAAAATCTTAGCATGGTATCTTGGAAGAAAATATAAATATGAATAATGTATCAGAAACCTACAATTTGCTAGTATAGGTGAAGAGATACATATACAAAATACAACAAGTAAAGGATAAGACCTATTTAATATGAGCATACGAGAATATAACAGAATGAAATAAAACTGCTTCCATTTCAAATACAAGATATAATCACCCCGTAATTTTTTATTGTGTGTATTTGTTAATTGTATAATTTCGTACTATACACAAGTGACCATGGAAGACTCTGCTACAAGACTAAAACACAAAACCAAATTAGATTTATTAGATTTATGCTTGAGACATAATGAGTGTATAATAAAAAATTTTTAATAAAAATAAGTACATTGGAAGACAGAGAAATCACAACCATGCTACCTCTGCTCAAAAATTTGTGTGCATATTCCCTTCTAGCTTTGTCCATGAGCAAACACAACAAAAAGACATAACAGAAGGGTATATCAAGGAGGCAGTGATTATTTATCAAATAAGCCCTATATATAGTAATTGCTTTGAATTTTCAGAAAGAAGAAATATCATTTCAGTTTGAGGTGATGTGAGATTTCATAGAAAACTTGAAAGATAAATGTTAATACAAGAAGAAAACCAACTGCATTCCAAGAATAAAATGATACTGGCAAAGTCAGAAGCAGAAAGATAAGGTATGTAGGAAAATTGTGGACAGTAAAACTATTATGGCAGAATTATATAATCAGAGATTCAGGTTTATAAATGACCTTAAAGTCATCTACTAGAACAACTGGATGCCGAGGCTAATTATAAAGACTGGCTAGTACACTGTAGGTAGCAGACAGTAGTCAATGTGTCTAAGCCAGCAAATGCCATGATCAAAGTATTCTTTTATAAAAATTACCTCCCCAAAATAAGAAGTATTGACTATAAAGCAGGGAGGACAGGAAGGCAACCTCTCGCAGGCAGCTGGGGTCCTGTTCAGTGTTCAAAGTCCAATCAACTGCCATTTCTGGATTACACCTTCTTAGAAACCTCCAGTATCTCTCCTGCCCATGAGCTCCCATAGCCTTTCCTGTGCCTGCATCACATAAACAGGCTCCTCTGATAGTTAGGCCTCTATCTCCCCTCCAACAACATCTACAGCTGATGGAATATTGCATCAAACTTGGTATTTCTACTTCTCTCACTACTGACATCACCAAGCACAAGGTGCATGGTCGTATTTTAAGAAATATTTATGGAATTGTATTTTGATGTGAGGGTTATTTATAACCAAACTATCAGTGTTTATCAAGAAGCACATCATAGATATGTACAGTACATTAAAAAATCCCAAAGTGTCCAAACTAGCTATAGCACGTCAGAGAGTGGAGTAGAAAGGAAAAATGGCAATAGAATAGGTAGAAGAGGCAAGCAGGAGACAGATTATACAGGGCCTTGGAAATCATGCTAATATGGTTAGACTTTATTCCAAAAATAATAGGGAATCCCAGAAGGAGTGAGAAAGAACATGACGGGAGGCAGAGATTTGGGTGCAGCAACCCAAAGTAAGAGAGGACCCACTTTAGTATGTCAGTGATGGTATAAAGCAATAAACAAACCCAAAACCTACTATGGCAAGAGTCAAAGGAATCTGGTAAAGATGAAGGGAGGCACTGATAGGAGAACAAGAAGTGCAGAATGACATCCAGTTGTTTGGTTTAAGCATCTGCAGAGAGGGGGAAGAGGTGGAAATTATAAAAGCAGACGATGAGTGCAGTTGGGGACTATCAGGTTGAGGCTTTTAGGGTACACAAGCAGAGATGTTCAGTAGGTAGCTGAATATGGTGCCCACCTCAGGAAAAGGTTTTGGGATAGAGAGCGAGATTTCAGAGTCATCAGATAAAGTTAGTAACTGAAGTATTGGAGCAAGTGAGATCAGCCAGGCACAACACAGGGAGTGAGAAAAGAAGACATCTAGAGAAGAGCACTGATTACAAACCCAGTTACTAAGCCATGGACAGAGGAAAAAGAGCTCCCAAAGAAGACTGAGAGTTGTGCTGTCCAATCCAGTGGATGGTAGACAGATGTAGCAATTAATACTTTAATTAATTTAAATTAAAATTTAAAACTTTAAATTAAAATTTCATTTCCTCCATTTCTCTGGCCACACCTCAACTGCTAAACAGTCACATACAATAAGTTGCTACTATACTGAACCACACAGGTTAAAAAAATATTTTCTTTATTTCAAAAAGTTCTACTGAGTAACACTGCTGTGGAGAAATGTAGCTTTTTTAGTATTACTCCAAGATTATGCACACTTCCTAGAGTCCCAAGAGTACCATGTATAAGTCTGACTCATCCAATCACATTGAGGCAAAGGGAAAAGAAATGATGTCACTTCTGTCAATAGAAATTTCAGGCTAAATATTATTCAAGAAAATCTTACAGAACTAGGGGGATGGCTATGAAAGAGGGATCACTCATCTCCCAAGATTCACCTTCAAAATGAAAATGAAGTTCAAAATAATAGATTTGAGCATGGAAGTCTACTTATTTTTAAAACGGTTCTTTGAATATTAAAATTCTTAAACATATTTGAATAGGTGATGCTATTGATGCCCTTTCAAGTCGCCCAGGCTTGTATTTCTACCTGATAATAATCCCAGTGAGAAACCAGGTATTTAATAGCTAAACTTGCATGTGAGTCAAAAGAAGAATCTTGTTATGCTCTAATACCCACGTTTGGATTCTATCAGACAGAGAACACTCTTCTGTAAGAACGGGAACTAGAAATACCGTTATAATAGATTTTGATGCTGTGTTAGGGAAGCATGAAAGAAGAATGGAAAGGGAAAGATCATGCTTGCTCTGGAACTGGTGGCAAGATTCAAATACACTTTTTGTAAAACGGCAACAGAGGCACCTCAGAAGATCGGGAAGTAGATACAACGAACTCTACAACCCACACAATTTTCATGGTGCTCATATAACAAGAACTGAACTATGCAAGCGGGATTATTTCCACTGTGAGAAAACAGGTGCTGAGACCTACTCAGCAGATCGAAAAACAAACAGACCTTGGCGTGCCGCTTAGGGTATAGAGACGTTACTTTAACAGCCTCTATCTGGACGCCCTCTTTCTCTCAAACCACTAGACTGCATAAATCTTATAACTCAGGAGGCAAATTGTGTCATGGAACAAATGAAGATAAGCACAAGAATTTGCAGTTTTATTTCCCAAGGCATTCAGCTAACAAGCTTGCACTGCTCTTCAAATAGCTGGATTGCTGAGAATGAGGGGACGTGAAAAAATAAACAATAAACCACTGGACTCATTCTTATTTTCTTATATAGTGAAAACTGGATATGTTAGAAAATATAACACTGGGGTTTTTTTCCAAAAGTGAAAAATGACAAATTAAAATCCTTAAGTCACAGGAAAAGTTGCCATTTACTTCTGAAATACTGAATTTTTAGGTTCAGAAACTATATATTATAGTTATACAACCAAGCTTTTGAATGTCAGGAAATTCCAAAGCCTACAGCAGAGTACACTTGGACATATGACACATGGTACATATTTTACGGTCCATGTGTAACAAACAACTGAGAGACGGCAAATGAAGTTCCACATATCCAGCACGGCAGAATAAATTCTACAGTAGAAAAGAATTTTGAGATGTCCTGAACGCTACTCTGACACTAAACATTCTACTGATCTAATTTTAGAAATTTGATTTCCCTTAAAAAAAGTTTTAGAACAAAAGAAATCATCCCAGTTTAAAACAAATGACATATGTAAAATACTATGTCCATCACCACCCTATAAATCTGAGAGGTGTCCCCTTCTCTTCTGGCAGTTCTCTAAAAAAAAATCTCAGGAAACAAATGCTCATTTTCTTCAACCCTAGATTTTAATTTTCTATCTTTGGGACTAAAAATACTTACATAATTGTCTTCAAATATGGCTTGACTTTTCTTCCTTGATGGGAACCGCATTCCTGCCAACTTTAAAATTTACAGCTACAACCATATTTTTTTAATTTTTAAAAGCATAGCAAATACCACAACCCATCAAAGTGATTCTGAAATGAGCATTTCCTCATTTTCATAATTATCACATGTCACAGTTAAATGTACTTCAACTCAGCACACAAATGGATAGGAGATTGAGTCTTGGTGCAAAACATCATTTTTGATGATGAATACTAGGGGTTGGGAAGGCAGGATAAAGGGAGGTTGGAATTGATCAGCACTTTGAGTCGATACATGCACGTAATGAAATGTCACACTGAATCCCATTAATTAGTATATGGTAATCAAAAATAAAAACATTGTCTTTGGAGATGATATTAGCAACTAAAAAAATCCAGTAGCAATTACCCTACTGTATTTTAGTCATTATATGTTTTATTACAACATAAAATGGTGCATCTAGAAACCAAATGTGTGTGTGAGTGTGTGTGAGTGTGTGTGTGTGTGTGTGTGTGTGTGTGTAGAGACAGAGACGGGCTCTTATTCTTACAGACTACATCACAGTTTTCTAAAGTATGTCCTCATAACTTCAGGAATTTGATCTCCCGACAACACTGAAAGGTATATAATACAGGAATTATTTAGTATTCCATTTGATAAATCAATATATTAAGATATGGGAAAGCTAAATGCCTTGCCAGAATCCTAGAAAAAATGCCCAGACTTGTGACTCCCAGATCAGTCCTTCAGAGGGTTTAGATGAGACAAGAAATATGCAAGGAAAAAAAAAAAAAAGAAATATACAAAGTTGTTGGATTTCTACAATTTTAACAATGAATTTTTTTCCTCTCCCCAACATCACAAAGGGTCATAATCTATCTCACTTTTTACTAAATGGGAACAGTTACCTGGATTACAAGGAAACTGTAACAAAATTCTGTTTGAAAGTGTTACATTTGAAAACACACATGCCTTTGAGAACATAGAAATCAATATACTATTACAATTCCACAGCTCCTGGGTAGAAAATACTGAATTACTAGGAAAGAATTAAACTCTATCCCACCTATCTTAAAAAGAGAGAGAGGGCTGGGGATTTAGCTCAGTGGTTCCAGCACCTGCCTCACAAGCGCAAGGTCTGAGTTTGATCCCCAGTACCAAAAAAAAAAGAGAGAGAGAGAGAGAGAAAGGGGAGGAAAGAAGAGAAGGAAGAGAATGAAAGAGAGAGGGCCAAACAAACAAACAAAACACAAAAGGAAAAAAAAAAAGGTAATCCAGGGGGGAAAAAGTTTCAAAAAGAATATAGGCAACTCTTTGTTTAAATTTAAATTGTGGCACTGATTACATAAATACATTAAAAACTTGACTTTTCCCAAAGGAATCTGTTCTTTTCTCTCTTTCCTCCAGAACTGAAATACTATGACAAGGCAGCGATACAATGTGTTTTTCACTTTTAAGCAGTTGTGTCAAGTTTAAATCTACATCTGCTACGCTTTTATAACTGGCACTTGTGATCCATAAAAATAAACATGAAAGGGACTATTCCCGTTATTTTTCAAGGATTTGTCTTTTAAATTCCTCAAAGAGGCTAGCGAAGCAGGTAGCCAATGTTCCAGTTTAAATGGTTACCTATGTTCCCCTATACTTTTTAATTATTAAGCAAGCTCCCAAAAGGCAACAACATCTTTTTTCTTTATTTCCTCTCATGGAAACCGAAGTAGAATTTAGCATAGGCCTCTTGGTGCTCACTGATCGTGAGGAGGTCTGGAAGGAATTCTGGGATCACCCTTCCAGACCCGGGGACAAGAGGACATATGAGTCGGTGCCATTTTGCAGAAGGAAATGAACAGTGCAAATGGTGAGAGTTATGGGTGCTCAGGGGGAGGGGACAGATCTGTGTGAAGTCCTGGGGGCCAATCCCTACCTAGAAGATGGAGTAGGTAGCCAGGGAAACATACTTATCACTGTCTTCTAACAAGTACATCCATACTACACAGACAGAAAGTGATCAAGGAAAACTAATTTACTACTCAACACTAATAACTACTAGGTACAAAATATATTTACATTACTAGCTAGGCATCAAAATAGCCTAGATTAGACTGAGATAATTTATGTTGGGTAATTGGGAATTTTCCCCCTAAAACATTCCTATAATTTCCCAGACCACTGTTCAATCACTTGGTCCGTTTATCTATTTCTCCTAAATCAAGGTATAATAGTAAATTAGTCTGACATTTGTTATGTTTTATTTTTTATTTGTCTCTGTTCTATAGAAGTATAGTTACAGTAGAAGTACATGGGTTCTTATATTTTATATTTTTTATAAAATAGACTATTTTATAGACTTGAAATTGGAACCACTTGCAAGACCTAAATATCACTAGAGTTAGAATATGATACTTTAAATTAAACAAAAATTGATTCCAAGAAAACATAGTGAATTCAGGGTGCTGAAAACATCGCATGATAAATAATATACTAATAACTAACCATAATATCCATATGACAATACCTGTGAAGAATAGCAATATATATGAATAATATATAAGCTATATACATGTGATTTTTAAAAAGAGAATGTCCAACCCAACTGATTAGATCTAAGTTCACAAAGGATCATTTTTAGAGGCCTCTACATTCTGATTTAGAGAAATCCTAACAATTTGTATCCTATGACTTGTACTTGATACTTCAAATTCATGTGAGACATTGTTTCAAATGAATTTTAAATGTACAGCTGTTACTGTTATCTATGAGAGTTCAAGTACAAACTGCAGATTGTATTCCAGAAATAATGAGTATCTAGAACATAAGTCTTCAAATGCTTTATAACAGAGCTAACTATAGTACTTGATTGAGAGATTAGTAATTTGCCCCTTGGCCTTGGAGTCCAGACCTAAATAAGTAGAGACAGTACTTTCAACAGGTGGTGGAATTATAGTAGAGCTTTAGTGTGTGTGTTCTATACAAACCAGCAGGAATTGACAATGACAATCAATTATTTCACGTACTTTGCAAAGCCAATAAAGTCTTCATGGTTGGTGTTGATGTAGGAAACTTGAATGTCAATCAACAGCAGTACCTGTAAGGCAAAGAGAATCACATCACTGACATCCATTTTAAAAATTCTCAAACATTAAATTCAATAATTGTCTTTAAATTATTTATCTGTATTTAATGTTTTGGAGCCAGGTTCTCTCTATTCAGACTGGTCTGAAATTCACTATGTAGCCTAAACTGTCCTGGAAAATGGGGGATCCTCCTTTCTCAGCCTCCTGAGTGTTGGGATTACAGCAGGCCTGGCCTCTGCATTTAATTTTTGTGATTTTTCATGAAAAGTTACACTGATTTTTCTTCATTAGACCCACACCTTTGCACTCCAAATTCAGAAGTTAAAAAAACTAAATGAAAAGTAAGTCGATAATTAAATCAGACACTATTTGCTAACTAAAATTTTTCTGTTCCTCCAAAACATAGCACAGCATTCAAGAGGCAAGTACATGTAAGCAATATTACTTCTTGTTTTTTCTCTCCTTTTCTGAGTTCTTTCTCTGCAATCAGAAGTATATTATCAAGCAACTGAGAAAGGCAATACACAACTAAAAATAAAACCTCCCTTGAGGTCAGTAGGCTTCATTATCAAATCAAAACATCAGCCAGGTCTCCGAAAAAGTGTCGCTCACCAGAGGGATCTTCCTTGACCTATCTAATTAGCACTCTCTCTATTTTAGCATCGTACCCTACCTTGTTTTCCTTTGGAGCACTACTATTACCTGACAGAGCAAGTTTCTGCAGATTTGGTATACAGGCTGCTAGAGCCCCCAGGCAGTGCCTGGGACCTCAAATGCATGCAAGAAAGATTTATGAAGGAATGGATTGAACATATGTCCGGGCACCAGAAAATGTTCTAGTCCTAAGGTACTTGTAAACTAAGTCAGAGATTTGGAAGGCCTTCCAGCGGAAAAGTATTCTTTAAAGGGGAAATGAGGAGGCTGAGAAAGAACAAGAGGGGAATGGAGTAACCAGGAACTATAAGAGAGAGGGTCTTATTCCAAAGACCTCCAACAGTGGGTTCTGCTTTCTACATGCCCTCAACTGCAAAGTACCTCTTTCCAGCATGGTGAGGCTTGTTGGGAGCGAAAAATACATAAGAGCCACTGCCTCAATACCTCCAGAGCTCCACGCTTTGCCCTGTGGGATGTGCATTTGATGACCATAATGAGCATTTATACATTGCCTGCCTTCACAGAAGGTAACACATGAGTGCATCAGAGTCCTTCTGGCTAACAGTTCGCAGGCACATTGGACATTATGCTCCCCAGTGGGTACTTCCTTAGGAAAATCTTCTCTAATTTTCACTCCTTATCCTTCTGCAGGACCAGGTTGGACCATGCTATGACTCTCAGATAGTCTGGATCCCATATTCAGATTTTACATACATGTATCACAAGATGTTATTGAAATATGCAGTGAATGTTTAAATTTATTACAGTAAAAGACACATTGCCATTAATCCCACTCAAAATATTCCTCCTGACTTTGAACACACTTGTTCTATCATTCTTGCCACTTTCTGACGCAATTCTAGAAGTCCTGTTTGCTGAGTGTCTTTGTGTGTTGTAACTAAAAAAAAAAAAAAAAATACACTGCTGTTGTGGAGCCCCGTCCATTGGAAAAGCAGCCTCCTGAAAACATTATAGTGCATCCTCATCACCTTATTCACTGGGTCTGGGACCATGCAACTTCTGACTCCTCCTCAGAGCAAAAATGACCATGAAAGGTAAACCTTTTGAATTGATTCAGAACATCGAGGCAGACATGACAGCACAACTAAAGACACTCACAAAAGAGGACTTTGAGAACTGCTTCAGAAAGTGACAAGAATGATAGGATATTTGCCTCTCTCGAATGACCAGTGATGTTGAACATTTTTCATATGTTCATTTGCTATTTCTACTTCTTTGTCTGAGAAATGTCTGTTCTTTTTAGACGCCTATTTTTGGATTGGGTCTCTAAATTTGGGAGATCTTATTTTTAAGTTCTTTATAGATTCTAGATAGTAGACCTTCGTCTGAGGAACAGCAGGTGAAAATTTTTCCCACAATGTGGGTTGTCTCTTCACACTGCTGGTGGTTTCTCTTGCTGTGCAGAAGCTTTTTAATAAGAAGAGATCCCACTTGTTGATTG